AAGCCCCGACTGCAGCACCTACAGTTTCTATGCCATAAACTCCCTCATCATGGCCACTCTCAGAGCTAGCAACCATTAACAGGCTTTGAAGTTGTGGTTGGTTAATGAGTCAGTGGTGAGACAAGGTTTCACGAGGTTGAACCATGTCTCTTGTTCAGCTCTTCAGTATGCAGTTCAAAGCAGAGACTCCCTTGTGGAAACACATTGAAGGATCTGGATAGCCAGATGTTAACCTGGAACAAGCAGGTGAGGAAAACATTTCTACACAAGCAATTCTCTGTTGGTTAGGGAGGCCAGCTGTCAAGACATTCCTATGAGGAGATTCGGGGAGCCGGGGAACCGGAAGTGTCTCTGGCCCTGCTGCTAATTGGTCCAGTGACCTCAGGCAGGTTACCTAATGTCTCCTGTGTCTCCCATCTCCATATCCTCAAGATGAGGATGACCTGACCTCCATTCCTCAGGAACCAGTTGGTTAACAGGCTGCAGACTGGGCTCATCACTATGATTCCTGGAGAACAAGCTTCAGGCTGGGCACTGGTGCAGGGAAGCTGGTAGCTGTGACAGAGATACAGCTCTGCTAAGCTAGAGCCATTTGTCACTTGGCTCTTCTCCCTATACCATGACTCAGCTGAAAGTCATGGGAACAGAGGAAAGGTGGACAGAGACAGTTCCAGAAAAGCAGTGAGAATCAGTGCTGGGTGGGCATGGGTAATTCAGACCCACAAGGAGTTGAGGGGACAGCCAGAGCTGTGTCATTACCTCAGTTTACCACCACATGCAAGGCTCTTTTTTGTTTTCCTCTGGCCAATAAAACTGTGTTCAACGACCGTCAAGTCAATGCTTTGCAGGGGTACTGAAGAACTTCCTTGAGTATCCTCTAGTGCCCCTCCTATGGGAGGGCTCCACCATAATTCTGTGATTTTGTCTTCGGAAGCTGGACATGTCTACTGCTTCTGACCATGTAGTGTGAGAGACCAAGAGGGGAGTCTTTACCAAGATGCCAGACCTACCCTTGCAGCAAACATGCCTGCCTTTATTCGTTCTTCCCACTCCCCAAGACTCCTTCCCTGACCCGTAGGCAGCACCCCTCACATTCTATTTTATGACATTGGGAGGCAGATGTCAGGCAGGGTACTAGAGAATATTTAAATGCCAGGGGCTGGGAGCTGACTCTGTGGGTAAAATGCTTGTGGTACAAGTACAAGGACCTGAATTCAGGGCCCCAACAGCTACATAAAAGCGCAGCCTGGTAGTACACATCTATAATCCCAACAGTGTGGAGTGAAGGCAGGTGGGTCCCAGAGCTTCATGGCAGGTGAGTTAAATCTAGCTCAGGTTTGGTGAGAGACGCTGCCTCAAAAATAAGGTAGAGAAACAATTGAGAAAAAAGAAAGATGTGATGTATGTGGACATCTGGCCTCCAGATGTATGGGGAAACACACCTGTATACATATGTATAAACAATGATAATAATAATAATAATAATAATAATAATAATAATAATAATAAAATTTAAATGCCAGGCAACAAAACTTTCCTTCCTTCTTCAGTCCATCCTCCCTCCCTCCCTTCCTGCTGCTCTTTGGTACATAAAAGAAACATGCGGTATGGACACATGAACTAGTAAGGTACCTTTGTTCATCTTTGTTCATGCCCTCAGCACCTTATCTGGGTGAACATGCCATTCAAAGTCAAGATGTTCTAATTGCCTTTTAAATAAAAATATATGAAAATATTCCCAAACAGAAAGGCATACTGAGGGTAACCGTGTAAACACAGCTTAAGCTGAGAAAAGAACCAGACCTAAAGAGTTCCAAAGAGAAGCTTGGTTCCCGTGGGACATTATAAAGACATAGGGCTCTGGGAGGTGGCTGGCAAGGGACACAGCTGGCATGGGGGACACATGCTCAGTGCAAACATCCTCTGGCATCCAGCATTTGTCCCCACAGGCCAGGATTCAAATTTGCTTCCTGTTTCCAGCCCTCCCAGAAACACATCTAAAAGACATTTTGTTTCCATCTCCCACCTCAAGAAGCACAGATTTACAAGTGCATCTTCCCAGAGAGATGGATCCAGCCCAATCCAAGACCCACAGGAAGGAACAAATGAACCCCACTAGGAATTTTCCGTCACCGGCTCTGTATTTTTTTAATTCCCAAGATAAATGGGATTTTACTTATAGGACTGAGGGCTCCATTATTTTTCAAATACTTTTAGTTGCTGCCAAGGAACCAAGAAAATTGGTTGTGCACCTGGCCAGCTGATCCAACCTCAGAAGTCACCTGACCTCATGAAAAGGCCCTCATTTTTCTCTCCTTTAACAAGCCTGCCATCTCCTCTTCCTGGTAGCCTTCCACACGTGGGGCGAGCATGGCAGGCATGCTAATAGCTAGAGATGCCTGATTCATCACTATCTCTCCAACTATCCTCCAGGAGGGGTTTCTGCTCCAGGACAGGACCTCTGGGAAGGAAAGACATTTATTAGGCACAAAACAAATACAGTGTATTAACAAAAAAATCTAAGCAATACATTAGAACATAGATTTTAATATTTTTGCATATGTGTAGTCAAGAGATGGACTTCTCTGAGGCAGCTGGAAGGTGCCTGCAAAGCTTATCCAAGAGAAAGCATCCCATGTGCCTCACAAATGTCTCTATTTCTCCCTTCATGAGAGAGAGGAGGGGTGGAGGCAGACTTACCACAGCTCCTTTCCTGAGGGGGTGAATCACAGCCCTCGGGCTAACCAGGCAGGTGCTGTGAAATCTGGCTGACAGGTCAAACTCAAGGTGATGTGCCTGCTGATTCTCCTCTCTGTTCAGCTAAGCTCCTACCACACGGCTGGTGCCGCTGAGGTAAGTAATTATGACTAAGCGTGTAAGCAGGAGGGGCTGCACACTGTAATTACTCCCCAGCAAGTTCTTGCAGAGCCTGGGAGTTCCCCCAGAGGCCTGTTTGGGCCATTTCTGGAAGGGGGTAAGTCAAGGTGGGTCTCCTAGATGAGATCAATCCAGATAAATCTGAATCGGAACTTATGTAACCTCATGGACATTTTTTGGCAGGAATACTCAAGTCAAAGTTCTCAGGATCTTAAACTACTTAAAAAAAAAAAGTTGAAATGTTCAGACCCATCTGTAAATGTCTCAAAATACACAAAGCACCTTCGCCTTAGAGACATCGTTGTGTGCCTGTGTGTGCATTCATACTCAGGTGTATGTAAATGAATGTGGAGGCCACAGGTCAAGCTCAGATACCATCTCTTCCCAACCCAGGACTGACTACGTAGGGAGGGCTGGCCGGCCAGCAAGCACTGGAGAATTCTCCTGTCTCCATGCTTCCAGCTCTGTAGTTACAGAAGCATACAACTCTGCCAGGTTTTCTCATGTGGGTTCAGCAGACTGAATTTGGGTCTTCATGTTCATGTGGCAAGCCTTGTGTGACTGAGCTATTTTCCAGCTCATAGTACTTTCCCACAGAAATACAGCATGAGCCACGTGTGTCCATTAAGATATATCAGAAGCTATACACACACACACACACACAAAGAAACATGTGAGATTAGGTTTAATGATATATGTAGCCTAACTGACCTCAAATATAGGACTTCATCACTTGATCAGTAGAAATGTGATTAGTTTTTAAATTTTATTTGTATTACGTATTAGGGATATTTTGCACACGGTGTGTGTGTGTGTGTGTGTACTTTCAGGGTTTTCTAGAACTGCGTTAGTATCACCCACGGACTGTATATGATTCTCAGGCTAAGAGCCATAGGCCAAGTGTGTGAGGCATGGTGTAGCCCCAGAGGCCAAAGTTCCCCTTCATATGTGTTGAAGGGTATGTGGGCCAAGGTAAGGTTCCCAAAAGCATGCCTGATGGACCGAACTTGTACTATGGGAAATTTGTTTTGATTTAAAGTTCTTGACTGGATGTGATGGCATGCATCTATAATCCTAGCTTGGGAGGTAGAGGCAAGAAGATGAGCAAGCTGAAGATGAAAAAGGGCTACATGGAAAGACCTTGGGAAAAAAATTCTAGTGCTTTTCATAACAGAAAAATTTCCAAAAATGTTTTCAACTTTTGTACTACATTTATTTATATATGGGAGTATGCCTGACACAACATGAAAGTGGAAGCCAGAAGACAACTTGTAGGAGTTGGTTCTCTCCTTCCACCATGGAGTTCCTGGGGATCAAAGTCAGATATCAGTGCCTTTACTCCCTAGCCATCTCATTGCCTGCCCTCCCGAATTGTTTTCAAGCAGTCTCAGGCGTTGTGAAGCCTCGACAAGGTAGGTACTAAGGTGCTCTCTGAAGCAACCAAAATATCCTGACTTAAGTTAATAATTTATTGTCTCCCACAGTGGAAAAATAAATAAGACCAGATTCTGGTCCTATTTGGGTCTGCTCCACCCTTTGGGTCATTCACCTAGGTGTGGGTGATCATACATGTGGTCCTGCACACTCCACTGTGGGCACAAACACTGCCCTCAAGAGCAGAACAGCCTGGTGGCAGCTAAGTGGACAAAACCTCTGAGGCAGTGTGGACAAGGATGCTTCCTGCATGGGAGGCACTAGCCCTGGGCCCTGAAGAGTACCCCAGAGAGAGCAGGAATAGAGCATGTCACAGTGGGCAGAGAAGCCTACAGCTGCCAGCAAGCAGGGAGACCTGGGGGATTAGAACCAGCCTTCAGCAGGCCACAAGCTGAGAAGGAACCATATTACTGTGGAGACAGTTGTCAAGCAGAACTGCCCAGCTGAAATACAACACTAACCACATAGATGTCGTTTTCTAGTAGCCATGTTTATAAAGGTCAAAACACACAGGTGCAATTTATTTTTAGATCATATTTTATTGAACACATTTCCTCAAGAATATTATTGTTTCAACAGGTGAGAGTGCTCAATTTTTTTTTTTTTTTTTTGGAACTCTTCGAAATCCATCCCACAGCTGGCACAGTTGTCCGGCTCCATTTGGCACAGCTGTGATTCAACTGCTCTGAGTCACATGGGCTTGAGGCTGCCACGTCTGGCTGCACAGGCCCGTATGTGGGTGTACGTCATGAATAGTAACCTCTGCTCCAACTCTGGGTCCAAAAGAGAGGTCAGGACAATAGAAAGGTAAGGAGCTAAAGATCAGCAAAGGAGGCAAAGCCTCCCAGTTCCTCCAAGGGCTGCAGATTGGGCAGCCAGGCCCTCTAACCAGGGCAGGGCAGGGCAGGAGACGGAGACAGTGGTTCCCCTTCCCCCATGGTCCCCAGGGTGTCAGTGTGAATAGTGTAACCAAGAGACAGAGCTCTGAGGAACATTTGCTAAATTCTGCCAAGTGCCTGGACACCAGATCACAAGGTTGACCCAGAAAAGAGCAATTGTACCTGCAGGGGAGGCAGGGCAGGAGAGGCCACCCCGGGTCAGCAGGCACCTCCCCCCACTGCCTGGGAGGCGTGCAGGTGGCCTAATGTGGAAATGTTTGAATGTGGGGCAGGGAGGCTCTCAGGGCTGGCGGGAGTCAGCCAGGGTGACAGGAACCAGTCACACTGGGGCGGGACGATGGAGAACGCTTGCCAAGACCCCGACAACATCTTTCCTAATAAGTCTGGCAGGCTCCAGGCCTCAGTCCCCCTCTGAACGACCTCTCCCCTCCACTCCAGTCTTCTCCAAGGAGGAAGGAAAGGAAGCCAAACAGAACAGGAATTTGGACCCAGGCCTGTTTTTCCCCTAGCCTGGGCTCTGCAGCAACTCTGCCAACTGCATGAGGGAGGGGGGGGTCTTTTTCCACAATGCCACTCTGGACACTTGGCTGTGCTGGCCACACTCTCTCTGTCATCCTGAGCTCAACTGCTGCAGCCCATGTCCGGAGGGACCCTGTGGGAGCACCCCTCCTCCCTCCCTTCCTCTTCCTCCTTTTGCTCCCTGGATAGAAGCCACCAGTTCATTTTAGAAGGCAGTCACCTCCCTGCACTGGAAGCCTGGAATCACTGTGTCTAGAGCCACCCTGCTGGCTGTGGCTCCTGGCTGCTAGGGCTGCTTGCTCAGGAGAGGTTTCCTAAGTCGGATGTCCCAGCCCCACTCGAAGGACAAGCACAATGACAACACATGTGTGTTTGGGTCGGGACACTTTGAACTATGACTCCCAGAAAGAACAGCTTGTACAGCCACTCTGAGTCTCCCGGCAACAAAGAATGTACCGTAGATTAGGCCTGGCTTGCAAAACATTTTTTTTAAAGAGGCACAGCCCAGTCCTTTTATAGGGTCTCGGAGCAACAGTGGCTAGGTTAAAAAGCGCAGAACGCCAGCGTCACCCGCTGTTCAACAGTTTGTGACCTTTGTTGGCTCATCAATTCTCCTAAGTTTGGCTTTTTTCAAGTCTCTAGACCCATGTGTTGGTGAAGGTCAGGGGCTGTGGGGGGAGCTTACCAAAGCCTGTAGATGATTAATGGGATTCTGTTAACCCAAGTTAATCTTTGCTCGGAGCGCCCTTTGATAACAGAGGGCTAGGAGAAAATGAATATGTTAACCATTAATCCTGGGAAACACCATCAAAATCAGGGTGGAAAACAGTGGATCTGGGAGAGGAATTTAGAGTCTGGAGGGGTCAGCCTGAGAAACCTGACCAGTCAAGGAGGAGGACAGGAAGCTTAGTGGGCGACCTTAATGTTCATGCATGGGCAAACGTGTATTTGTGTGCTTGAGCACTTGCATGTGTGTGCATGTGTGTGTATATATGTGTGTTCGAGCATGTGTGTGTGTGTTGATGTTGATGTTTGTTTATCTTTATCTTTCTTAGTTTCATTGCTCTGTGTAAATACACAGAGAAAAACAGCATCACAAGCATGGCACATTGCAAGAAAAGCTGATTTTAATGGCCTTTTAATTTCAGCTCTCCACAGCTAAAGCCAGGACTTATTCCTATGTAGGTAGCACTCTCTGGCACCTTTGAAGAACAAGAGGTCCCAGGCTGGAGGAGGTCAGTGTTAGCAGAGTCCACCTTGGGGCCACTCAGCTGGGCCTGTGTAGAGTCCCCTGGTTCTTACCCAATCAGCTGCCAGGCTCCAGGGTTGCCCCTCTTCCAGGTTCTATTTGCTGTTCTGGAGAAACTCATCAGCCCCAACCCCAGCTTACTGCAGCCAGGGACAAAACACCTACCTGCCATAGACAGCCCCCAGACCCCACCAGGGTGCTTCCTGAGAGCCATAGCTGGTACCACTAAGAGTCTGCGGGGCAAAGAGAAGCCTTTCCTGGCAAAGGGTGTCCCTGAATGGGGACACATTCTTTCTGTGGCATAGCAATATGAAGAGCTTCCGGGTCATGGAGGCTGAATCCCATTCTCAGGGAGCTCAGAGGCCATTTTTCTGGAGGAGGGGTGCTTTTGTGATGGGCATGGGAAATGTAACAGGAACAAGGAAATTCAAAGCCGAGAGAACACACTGTACCACTGGATGGCTGAAGGGGTTCACAGGAAAGGTCTGGCAAGTCAGAGACTAACTCTGAGGCCAGAATGGGGGTTTGCCAGGGAGACAGGGTCTGACTAAATCATCCAGGATGACCTTGAACTCACTCTACAGCACAGGCAGGCAGGTCTTGAAGTTTTGGTACTCCTGCCTCAACCTCCTAGGTAGCTAGGGAGGGCACCATCAGACCCAGATACAACAACCTCCTTGGTGCAGCTTGGCAAACAGGCTGGAGGAAGTAAGCTGGGATGGAGAAGTGAGACAGGAAGGACTTAACAAGATCCTGAAGAGGGAAACCAAAAGCCTGAACCAGGAAGGTAGCTATGGGGAAAGAAAATGAGGAGGGACAGAGAATACCATGTACTCAAGGCCTTGTCCAAAGGCTCTGCTGTGGTGGTCCATGGCAGTAGACACCTACCAGGCAGAAGAGGACCAATATCTGGGAAGAATGTTAGTGATACCCCAAAGGGCTCCAGGTGACCACTGTATCTCTCCAGTGTCCTAGAAATGAGATTTCTGGGGGTGAGGCATACAATGGTCTTGTCTAGACAAACTTTCCCGCCTCCCAAAGTGAAAGTTTCTTGAGATATGGTCTGAATTCCCTGGGTTTGTGGAATGGCCCTGAAGGCCTGATCTGCTTGGTGGGCTTGGGAACAGGACTGCATTTCCCAAGCTCCTGTTGGTACAGGCGAGGCCTTCCTTGCCTTCCTTTACATGGGGTTGTGAGGTTCTTGTTCTGATTGGAAGTGGGGTGAGGATCAGAAAAGCAGTAAGACTGCTGCCCAGAAAACTCCCATCCCTATAAATTAACCCCAAGCAATGACTCTTTTTAACAGGACATTGCTTGTCCTGGTTTGTTAAATAAAGAAAGTACCAGAATGGAGACGAGTCCATGGTCCTGACTTCTGTTTCTTGGGATGACAACAGTTCCCCAAGCCTTCCCCACTTCTGCCTTTCAAGGCTGGTATTGGGAACAAATGCTCTGTGGGGCTGAGCACAGCCAACATTTCTGCTGGCCTTCAAGAACACTCCACACCCTGATGCACCCAAATGTAGAGTCAGATGCCCCCCAATTCAGGGGGATGGGGCCCCATGCCAGATATCCTAAGAGGGACTCTGACCTGCTGAGCAGTTACACCAGCCAATGAGGCCTCAACTTCAAGCTTCTTGCATCCTGTACTTTGGTAATGGTACTGGGAAAAGATTGTAGCAAGACCCGGTTCTGCATCTATGAGAAGAGTCAGGAAAGCTAGGCAGGGTAGTGCATACCTGTAATCCCCTGGGAGCTACAAGTGGGAGGAACAGAAGTTCCAGGCTATTTTTTAGCTACCTATCAAGTTCAAAGCCAGCTTGCACCACCTGAGACCCTTTCGCAAAAAATGCAAACAATTAAAAAAAGGAGTGAAGGTATGCTATAATCCCAGCACATGAGACTCTGTAACTTACTACATAGTGAGTTCAAGGCCCGCCTCGCCACATAGTGAGATTGTGTCTCAACAAATAAAAAGGAAGAGGAGAAAAAGGAAGGAAGAGAAGAGAAGGAAAAGAAAAGACAAAGAAAAAAGCAAGATGTGAAACAAGGAGTTGTTATTTTGGACCATCCTCACTGTCCTTCCACCATGTTCAGGCTAACTCCATCTTGGGGCAGAGGTGGTCAACTGGAGGCTGAAAAATATAAATGGCCCCCAGTAGTTTCAAGGTAGAGTAATGACCTTCACTGGACAGAAATGGCTGAGGTTCCTGTTGGGCATGTCTCCACCCTCCTTCTAAGCACTTTCACAGCCAAAGCGATACGCAGTTGTTACATGATCAGTACGAGAGGCGCTGGCATAAAAGTGGTTTTATGGCTTTGGCCTGGGTTTGTAAGCTGAGCAAATAGAAAAATCTCAGGAATAAAAGGGGCAATAAAATAATTACATAACACTTTGAACTCACCCTAAATACCACCTTTATTTCAAGGCTCTCAGTGTATTTTACAGGCAAGTTTAGAACTGTAGACCTGCCTCCCCTTTTTATCAGTGAGGAAACTGAGTCACTGTAAAGGCTGGGGATCCCATAGGGTTTGTTTCAAGGGAGAACTCTGAGAAAGCCACTCTGCAACACTTTAGGAAAGGGTCAACTGGAGTCTCCCAACTACACCCCCTCCCTGAGATTATCCAGGGCAGTGTTCCCATCCAGCCTGAGCCATGTCTAGGCTGCTAGATTAACAATGAGTAGAACAGATGGAACCTTCTAGAGTTCTCTCTTTTATTCTGGTGATGGTGGTGGTGGTGGTGGTGGTGGTGGTGGTGGTGGTGGTGTGTGTGTGTGTGTGTGTGTGTGTTCATCCAACACATGTTAGGGCTGCATACATATGTGTGCATGTGGAAGTCAGAAGACAACCTCAGGTATCCTTTTTTTCTGTAGCTGACCACTTTTTTTGTTTTTTTGTTTTTCTTTTTCTTTTTCTTTTTCTTTTTTTTTTTTTTTTTGAGACAGGGTCTCTTACTAGCTTAGAGCTCACCAAGTAGACTAAACTTGGAGAGGCCTGTCTTTGTCTCCTCAGGCTTGGGATTATAGGTATGCGGCACAACATGGATGGCTTTTTTGGTTTTCTACCATGGGTTCTAAGGATTCAGCTCAAGTCCTTGAAGCAAGACAAGCTCTTTACCAATGGTGCTTTCTACCTCT